TAGAGATCTTTCTGGATTTATTTATATTCCTTACACTTATTAGGTTTCTCTGCATTGTAGTATTATATTAATTTACCACATTTTATTTAACCATCCCCTTCTTTTTCTTTTCCTTTCTTTTTTTTGGCAGGAGGAGGGGAGCAATTGGGTCCAGAGTTACACAGTTAGTAAGTGTTTGAGATCAGATCTGAACTCAGGTCCTCCTGACTCCAGGGACAATGCCTTATCCACTGCACCACCTAGCTGTCCCTTATCCACTTATTTTTCAACATTTAAGTTGTTTTCAGGTCCCCCCCCAACTCAATTACAAGAACTAGTACTATGTAGATCTTTTCACAGATAGTGAATTTTGGCTTAATTTTTTAATAACATTTTTCAGGGTGTATTCCCAACAATAGAATTAATGGGTCAAAGGTTATGATTATTTTTGTAACTTATACTGTGTACTGCCAGATTGCTCTCCAAAAGAATTCTACAACTTTGAAATGCCACCAGCAATGAACTGACTGCCCTTCTTTCTCCACAAAGCAAGCAGCAGTGAGTTTCATTGCTTTTAATTGTTTTTGCTAGTTTGACAGGTATGAAACGTTACCTCAGAATTGTTTTAATTCCTGACTATCAGTGAGGTTGAGCATTTTTTTCAAGTAGCTATTAGAAATTTGTGCTTCCTCTTTTGAAAGTTGTCAATTTGGATTTTTTGATTATTTATCTATTGTGGACTTTTACCAGGTCAGCCAGGTGGCACAGTGGACAGACTGCTTGGGCTGGAGTCAGGAAGACTCATTTTTTTCTAGTTCAAATCTGGCTGCAGACTCTTAGTAGCTGTGTGACCCTAGGCAAATCATTTAACTCTGTTTGCCTCAGTTTCCTCACCTGTAAAATGAGCTGGGGAAGGAAATAGCAAACCACTCCAGTATCTTTGCCAAGAAAACCCCCAAATGAGATCATGAAGAGTGAGACACGACTGGAAAAAAAATGGCTGAGCAACGACAACAGATTCACAGGGGAACAAAGAAATCTAACTCTTCTCAGATGAGGTAACTAAGGCCCAAAAGGTGAAGCGTTGTGCCTCAATCACACAGTGAGTCAGTGCCAAAGTCAGGAGTAGAATCTAGGGCTCTTGACTCCCTAGCCAGGTGTTTGCCTTGCCGATGCCTTACGGTCTTTATTCACCGATAAGCCATATTGCACAGATCTACATTTGTGTGCACACATATAAATGCAGACTCTGGCTTCCCCACAGTTAGAGATATTTGTAGACATGAGCCAGCTTGTTGCCTTTCATTCTGGGCCCTTGGCACTACAAGCAGACAATGAGGCCCAAGTGGGAAATAGTTGCCCAGAGGAGAGCCATCCCAGAACTCTCCTGGGTTATGGAACTGGTTGGCCCCTGTTTGCTCTGTGGTTTCCTTTCCCAGAGCAAAATACAAGTGGTGGTGCCAAATTCCTCATCAGGAAGGGCAAAGCCTCCTTGTAGCCAAGGAGACAATACCAGTCTGCTTCCTGATTTACATAAGGCCCTTCAGATCAGGAAGGAAGTGCTCTCAGGGGTTTGAAAAGGTGGAATGACAGGTAGCAGGGAAAGGTAGAAAGAACACTAGATTTGGAATCAAAGGAACTAATTGAGAATCCCTGCTCTGCTTACTACCTGTGTGACCTGGAATAAATCACTTCCTTGCTTTGGGTCTCAGTTTCTTCATCTGTAAAATGAAAAGTTTGCTCCTGGGTAATTTCTAATGCCCCTTGCAGTTCTAAATTCCACTCTCTAAATTCTAAATGCACCGCAGAAGGAGCCTGTGTGTTCTAGACTGAACTACCTAATTCTAGAACCCTGAAATTGGAAGGCATCTTAGAAATCACCATCTCATATTTCACCACATCAAAGGATCCCTTCTCCTGCATGCCTGACAAATGCAGAGCTAGCCTCTTCTTGAACGCTTCCAGCAATGGGGAGCTCACTTACCTACTCAGCCATCTCACTCCACTTTCAGAGGGCTTTAAATGCCATTCATTCTTATCACACTACACTGTGCTTACTGTGTTATTTTCCTAAACTCTAGAACCAAGAGGCAGTCAGCTTTTGATTGATTGCTTGTAGGAAAAAAAAGAAGCATGCTTAATCTTTCTACTTCTTCAAGGAAGTCTTTCCTAGATTACTCAAGCCCACACTGATTTCCACCTCTTCTGAAATCTTGTCACAGTAACAGAAAAACCACCCCTTGGTTCAATTTTTTTATCTTTAAGATGGGCATAATAATGACAATGAGTTTCTGCCTGCCAGAGCTGTTATAAGACTCAAATGAGATAATGCAGGGAAAGTGCTTTAACATTTGTATAGTACTATGAAGTTTGCTGCTTTATTTTCATCATGATATACTTTCTTGTTTTTTCTAATTGTTTTCTCTGAGTCTTGACTTTCCAGTAACAACTCACATTTATATTGCCCCATACTGTTTATAAAGCACATTTCCCATAATAACTTCATGGCATAAGGTCTTAGGATCATAGAAGCTGGAAACTACCCTAGAGGGTTAACCCTTTCATTTTACAGTTAAGGAAATGGGCAAGTAGGAAGTCTAAGTGACATGCTTGAGGTCAGATAGGCAGGGTAGGTAGTGAACGTATCCTTGTCCCTATTTTATAGATCCCATCCAATAAATGCCATTGGTTCCTACTGACTTTAGGAGCAAATATTATTTCATTTTTATCTCATTCTTTAAAAATTTTTTATTTTGTGTATAGCAAGGGTCCTTGAACACATTCTTTCAGAACCAAGCTTAACATCTTTTTCTTTTCTTTTCTTTTTTTTTTTTTGGCTAGGCAATGGGGTTAAGTGACTTGCCCAGGGTCACACAGCTAATAAGTGTTATGTGTCTGAGGTCAGATTTGAACTCACGTCCTCTTAAATCCAGGGCCGGTGCTCTATCCACCATGCCACCTAGCTGCCCCCTTAACCTCTTTTTCTTAGGATTCTAGGGTAACCCAAGGGATTGTGGATGTCTCTGTTTTACTGCCATCTACTTGAACCCCCATTGGTTATTTTCTCTTATTGTTAGGTGCCTGATGATTAGAATGACCTGGAGAGGGAGAAGACCTCCAGGCCTTTCTCCCTTTAGAATTGTCTCTCTCTAGACTCTGATAAGGCCAAGAAACAGTGACCAAAGGTAAAAGACCAAGACTGACTCATCTTTTGTGAAGATATTCCAGGTTCTGGTTACACAGACAGATTAAAAAGATTCCTCTTAACCACATGGTCAGCAGACCAGAACCAGTTCAGAACGTCTATGAATACTCCACATTCTGTCCAAGGCACTTTTATTCCATGTTATCATCTGTCTCTCAGAGGCAGGGTCCTCAGCTTCTCCATATGGCTGACGCTGTCTCAGGTACTCTGCACATAACAGGACATAATGCATGTAACTATTAGCAAAACAGTATATTTCTGTAACAAACAAATGAATAAATGTACACATATGGTGTCTGTTAAAAGCATTTTTTTTTTTTACTGATACAGGTGCCTGATCCCAGAAGTTGGAGACCGTTGGTATAAAGGACCTTAGGGAAGAGAGTTGTTTTCACCATTGGTGGCCTCACCTGGATACGGAAGCCTAATCTAGAGTTTTGGTGCAGGCACACAGAGTGTCCACCAGATGGTGGTAGAGACCTCACTCAGCTTCTACACAGCCCCCATCTTGTTGAACGAGCCCTTTGAAAACCTCAGCCCTTTGGAAAGCAAGGACGTACTTCGAAACTTTGACTGGCATTATTTATAGACCTTCCTGCCGCCAGAATAAGCCCAGGGTCAAGATGGCTGAGGCCTCCTTCAGCCCTCTCCTCCTCACCAAGGCTGTGACCCCAGAGGTCCTTGGCTAATGACAGAGGGTGAGGTTTTCTTTCCCAGACTCCATTTAACTCCTTTATACCTTACCTTCTGTTTAAATTGAGGAACTTCTTCCCCAAAACCTGTTTAGTGACCTCTTTGCTTCCGCTGCCTCCCAAGATCAGCATTCCATCTACAGGGCTGCTTACACCCATGAGATCACAGATCTCCCTTATTATGTATTTGTGAGTACACACACACACACACACTCCTTCCAGCTGCTGCATCATGGGAGCGTTCACATTTATCTGAATGAGTGACAAAAGCATTTATTAAGTACTTACTGTATGCAAAGCACTAGCTAAGCCCTGGATACAAATAGAAAAGCAGAGACAATCTCTGCTCTCAAGGAACTCCATTCTAATGGGGGAGACAGTGCATAGGGGAGGTTTTAGCTGCAGGTTACATGGAAAGACTAAGAAGTCCTTCTGAAAATTTGGTGCTCAGAACTGAAAACAGTACTAGAGGCAGCATGATACAGGGGAAAGAACGTTGGATTTGGAATCAGAGGCCTTGGGTTTAAATCCTGTCTCTAACACTTATTATCTATATGATTTTGGGCAAGTCACTTAAACTCCCTGGGCCTCAGTTTCCTCAGCTGTAAAATGGGGGAGTTGTATTAGATGGCCTCTGGGGTCCCATCCAGCTTTATTTCTATGATCCCATGAAGTAATTACAAAGATGTGGTCTGACCAGGCAAAACATTATTTATTATTCAACTTTACAGATGAAGAAATTGAGGTACAGAGAGGTTAACTGACTTGTGTATTGTCAAAGAGTAAGCTTCAGAGCCAGGATTTGAATATAGACCTCTTCAAATCCAATGTTCTTTCCACCATTCCACAAGGCATGAGATTATATGGGCCAAACCCTTTTGCACCAAATTTTGCTCCTTTGCTAATTGTCCAAAAGCGCAAATGTTTTAATTTGACTTGTTAGGCAAATGGGAGCCATTTAACAGTTTTGAGTGGAGGAATGACATGACTAGATTACACACTGACATGACTAGATCACATATTAGGAATATTATCCTAAAAGCCCTAGAGGTGCTGGATTAGAGCAAGAAAAGAGTGAAAATGGGAAGCCTTGTAAGGAAGACATTAAAATCATTATAATCATCTAGGCTGATGTGCAACAAGGGCCTATAATAGAGAAGATATAGTGGGAATAGAGAAGAGGGGCAGATTCTGGAGACATTTTAGAAGCAGAAACCATAAGACTTAGCAAATACAGGGATGTTTCTAGCCTGGAGAAAAAAAATTTAAAGGGACATGATAACTGTCTTCAAATATTTGAAGGGGGATTAGACTTGGTCTTCCCTAGGGGGCAAAATTAGTGGAAATAAGTGGAAATTTCATAGCAGCAAAACTCAGTTTCCATTTCCTTACCTGTAAAACGAGGTTGTTGGACTTTGTAGTGCACACCTATAATCTCAATGACCAGGGAGGTTGAGACTGGAGGATCTCTTGAGCTTAGTATTTCTGAGCCATAGAGGCCTAAGCCCATTGGGTTTCAGCACTTTCTGGAACCAATATGGTCAGACCCAGGAAAGTTAAAGCTTCAGTCCAAAGTAGTGATGAGATTGGACCCATGAATAGCTTCTGCATTTGCAGCCTGGATGAGATAAGGAGAGTCTTAATAAAACAGTCTTAATAAAACAAACAAACAAATAAATAAAAGGAGGGCGTTGGTCTGCGTGCACAAGCAATCTCACTCCATCCCATCTTCTCCAGAAGATTGTCCCTCCTATAATCTCCACTCACTCTGTAATCTTTGATCTCTTCCATATCTACCAGCTGCTTCCCCACTGCCTATCAATATGGTCCTATCTCTCCCATCCTCAAAAAACCCTCACTTAATCTGTCCATTTCTGATAGTTACAATCCCATATCTCTCCTCATTTTTGGCACTAAACTCCTTGAGAAGGTTGTATAATATATGTGGCTTCATTCCCTTTCCTATCACTCTCTTTTTAATTCAATACAGTCTGGTTTCTGATCCCAGCATTCAGTTGAATGATGAATGACCATCTAGTTTGAATCCTCTCTCCAAAGTTACTCATGATCTCTTAATTGCCAGATCTAATGGCCTATTCTCAATCCTCATCCTTCTTGACCTGTCTGCATCCTTTGATACTTAATTACCTTCTTCTTGACATTCTCTTTTCTCTAGGTTTTTTCCTGACAAGTATTCTTTCCTGACAAGTATTTCTTCTCCTACCTGTCTGTCTGCTCCATCTCAGTCTCTTTTGCTGGATGACGATGACGATGATGATGATGATGATGATGATGATGATAACAATAATAATAAATTTATTAAGCACCTACTATGTGCTGAGCACTCTGCTAAGCATGGGGGATACAATCCCCCACCCCAATCTCTGACTTTAAGGAGCTGACGATTGATGGGGGAAGATGGCACACAAAAGGAAGCTGAAAAGGGTGAGGGGGCCCATTGGGGGTGGGTGGGGGGGAAGATTCCCAATGCCAGGGAATGTCAGAGAGGAGTCAGAGGTTCCAAAGTAGTGGAGCCAAGTGAGAAATGAGATATTTGAATTGAGTTCCCTCCTTCCTGGACCTTCCTCCAGGTTCCACTCACTGATTATGAGTATTCTTAGTGATCTTAGCTCCCATGGATTCAATGATTATCTCTATGCTGATTTTTCTCAAACCTACTTATTCAGGTGTGGGGGGCCATCTCCAGTTGTCCTGATCTATATCTGGCCATTGGACCCAGATGGCTCTGGGGCAGAAAGTGAGGCTGGTGACCTCGCACAGCCCTCCCTCACTTAAATCCAATTCACTTGCAAGTCATGACATCATCTTCCTGATGTCATGGTCCACTTTGAGAATGAAAGACAGAAAACAACAAGAAACAACCACAACTTATTCAGGCCTAACTCTCTGCTGACGTCCACATTCTTATCTCTAACTGCCTTGGACATATCAAAGTGGATGTTCTGTAGATATCTTAAACTCAACATATAGCACATCCTCCCCGTCATCTAGGTTAGCAATTAAGGTGCCATCACTGATGCTTTACTTTCTCTTAACCCCCTTTTCTAATCTGTTGCCAGGGTCTGTCAATTTTACCTTGCACGTGCTCCTTTTTCTCCTCTGACACTACCACTTCCCTGGTGCAGACCTATATATCGCCTCATGCCTGGACTATTGCGACGGCCTGTTGGTTGGTCTCCTTGCCACAAATCTTTCCTCACTCTAGAACATTCGCCATTCAGATGCCAAAGTGATCTTCTTAAAGTGAAGGTCTGACCAGGTCCTACCACTATTCAATATACATCTGTGTCTCCCATTTACCTCCAGATCAACTACAAAACCCTCTCTTTGGTATTCAAAGCCTTCACAACCTTCCCTCCCCCCCATCTTTCCAGCCTTTTTACTCTTTACTCCCCTCCACGCTTCCTTCAAAACTCAGCTCCTATCCCACCTTCTGCAGAGGCCTTTCCCGTTTTCTCCCCTCCCTTCTTCCTGACCCCCTCCCCCAATGCTTTCTCTTTGAGATGACTTCACCTACTTTGTATATTTCGTGTGTGAACACAGTTGTTGGCTTGATGTCTCTCCCATTGGTTCCCCAGGGCAGGGAACATGTTTTTGACTTTTTTTTTTTTTTAATTACCAGCCCTTAGTACAGAGCCTGGCCCATAGAAGAATGTCCAATAAATGCTTGTTCTCTGATTGTCTACGTTGATTATCTGGTTCTCGCTTCGCTCAGTATTGCTTCACACACATACACCTCCCAGCGCTTCTCTGTATCCATCACATTCATTGTTTCAGCAGAAGAATGCTATGTTACATTCATAGACTACAACTTGTTTAGCTATTACTCAGTCAATGGGCATCTACTTTGTTTCTAGTTCTTTGCTACTATGAAATGGTATGCTCTAAATAGCTTTATATAAAAAAGACCTTTCTTGTTATTACTGACAGTCCTAGAGTAACTATGCCTAGCAATACATTCTCTAGGCTAAAGTGTTTGGACATTTTAGGTCCCTCCCCCCTTTCAAAGCAAAATTCAAATAGCTTTCCATAATGGTTGGGCCAGTTCACAGCTCTGCCACTAATATATTACTGTGCCTGTCTTTCCACAATCTCTCCAACATTGACTCTCCCCATATTATGTTATCTTTTCCAATTTTCTGGCCATGAGGTGAAACCTATGAGTTGTTCTGATTCGTAGTTCTATTATTATTAGTGAGTCAGATAGTGAGGGTTCTTGGTCTGACATGCTTTGAATTAGATGATCATAGAGGTCTCTTTAAATTGAACAATCTGTGAACTGATCAGATATGAGGATAGGGAGAGCAAAGTTGAAAGTAATACCAAGACTTCAAACATGTCAGGCCGTCAAAATGTATTGCTGATGCCACTGATAGAAATAATACAATCATATTTTCCCTCAATATTATTTAGGAATTTCTTGTAGTACTCTATAACTATTCAGAATCAAGGAGGAGGGTGTTTTGCTTTGTCCTTGAAACTGACTTTCATACCACTAGCCACTGAAAACTCCATGGAGCTCAGTGTGGATAATTCAGTCCCCTAAGGTCAATCCACGGTCTACTGTTGCAGCTTTTAGAATTTCTCTGTATAGATCTCAATCAGATTCAAGATTCTGGTCAGACTCTCAGTGGCATCAGCAATACATTTTGCCAGCCTAACATTTTTGAAATCTTGGTGTTACTTTCGACTTTGCTTTCCCTATCCTCTCTCAGTGGTTCTGTTATCTTTGAAACACCAAATTAATATGTTCTCTTAATTCAATTCTCAATGTTACTATGTCCTAATGTTCTGTGAGAGTAATGCCGTTATGACCTATTGTACCCAGGCCAGTGACCTGTCCCTTGGCTGGGCTGGGTTTTGTTAAAGTTTAGACAAGCAATCCTTTGCTTGTCAAATTCTTATGCAGGCCTCAGACACAATTTCTTCCAGCAGGCCTTCTCTGCTCCTTATTCTCAGCAACAACTATCCTCCTCAGAGCTTACCGTGTACTTTTTACCTCTCTACTTTACTTACCATGTAATATTGTGTATTATAGTTATGGTGTGCCTTATGCTTCTATCAGACTATAAATTTCATAAAGATGGAAACCATGTTTTATCTAAGTTGCCTATTTCTCCCTGCCTATTATAGTGTTCTGCAGACAGTAATTGTTTAATAAATGTCTATTGAGTAAAACAAATATGTGCTCTCAGGGTGACAAGAGGATTTTAAGTCCATAATTGTTGTGAGGTAAAGGTCAGATATTGGGGATCAACATCTAATCCCTGAATGTGAGTGTATTCTCCTTTATAAAGAAGGAGGAGGAGGAGGAGGAGGAGGAGGAGGAGGAGGAGAAAAAGCAATGGTGCCTTGAGGTTGACAAACTACTTTTTCTTCACAGCAATTCCCAATTTTAAAAGAGCTGGCTAGCATTTATATAGCACTTTAAGGTTAGCAGAGCTCTTTATAAATATAATCTCATTTTATTCTCACCACAACTTAGAGGTAGGTGCTATTATTATCCCCATTTTATAGATGAGGAAACTGAGGCTGAGAGGTACTTGACTTGCCCAGTATAGTATGAGTCTGAGGCCACATTTGAACTCAGGTCTTATTGACCTCAAGTCTAGGGTTCTATCTACCATACCACCTAGCTGCCTTAACTGGCATATAGGTGGCCAAGGTTACACCAGTAGGTGTCAGAGGATTGGACCCAGATTTTCTGGCTTCAGTATACTTTCCATTACCACACAGGCAGACTTTCCAAAAAAACCTGGGAGGGAGGCATTTTCCAAAATGATCTGCTTTCACCTTTAATTTGATTTGGCACTGAGATCTCCAGGTCCACTGGCAAAGGGGCACTGATTCTGCCCTTGGCTTTGAGGGCAATACAGTGGGCAAAATATGTCAATCAGTAAATGAACGAGCTCTCACTTGGTGCTAGGCACCTGTGCTAAGTACCGGGGACACAAAGAGAGGCAAAAACAGCTCCTGCCCTGAAGGAGCTCTCCTTTCAGGAGAAGAGGAAAAAGCAAACAACTCTGGATGTATAAGATACAGAGTAAATTGGAAGGCCTCAGGCAGAAGTTGGGATTTGAGCTGGCTCTTGGAAAAAGAGTGGGGTGACGGTCCGTCGATGCAATTTCAGGGATACAGGGAAGAAAGGCTGCAACCTCAGAGCCCCAGACCCTTCATTTCACAAATGCAAATGCAAGGGTCTAAAGAGAGGAAAGTTAAAGAAATTCACACTGAGCAGATTCTTTCCAGCAAAGCAGATTTGTAGAGTGGTCAACAAGATCGTACAAGATCCTAAAAAGAGGGAGAGGAACATGGGGAAAAGGAAGAAAAGAGGCTTCGGCGACGACCGGAGAGAAGAGAAACTTTCTGGAATTCACAGTATTTCCTTTTGCCAGTGGGTGTGGCTGAGTACTTTCTCCGTCACCCCCAAAGCTGGTAAGGAGGGAACAGTTGACATCAAAGGACAATCTCTCACCCCCGAGAGGGGCGAAGGGGGCGGGTCTGAGCGCGGGATTAGCAGCAGCAGGAGGGAAGGCCTCAGCACCGGACAGGATGGGGCAGAGAGGGGCCGGACTTGGCTGGGCCGGACTGGAGGCGGGAGCAGAGACCGAGGACCCTCCGCTCCAGACCCACGTGTCGTGTGGGTTGGACACCCACGCCCCTGTGGAGAGGTTCATCCTCTGTAGTACGCCCGGACTTGGGACACACACACACACACACACACACACACACACGCACGCACGCAGTGACACACAACGCGAGCGCGCGCGCACAGTGACACCCTCACCCCCACACGCCCACACCAGAGGCGGCGTGCACCACATCTCCGACGCCCTCCAGCTCGCAGCGCGTTGTGCTCCCCGCCTCCACTGCTATGACAGAGGGTGCCTACCTAGGATGGGACTTCAGCACCCAGCAGGTACCCGCCCGGGCGGCGCCCCCAGGGCTGGGCTAGCGACCGCAGCCGCTCCTCCCGAGCTCAGGGCCACGTTTCTTTCTTTCTTTCTTATCCCCCTTTCGGTTTCGGGGCACACACACTTCCCTCCGCCGTGCCCCACTGCGAGGTGCACTCCGTCTTCCCTATCCCCGATTCCTTGCTCCTGGAATCTTCCTCCAGTCCAGGACCCTCCCCATTGGCGTAGGTTTTCCTCCTCTTCCTTCCCAGGATCGCTTCCCACTAATGTAGTCTGGTCCTAGGAGTTGTCCCCCTGGCTTCTGCCTCCCCACTTCCTCAGGGTAGCTGGAGTGATAGGGATCGAGACGATCTAACGAAGAAAAGCGCGGAGACAGCGCCGTAGCCCTCTCGGGGCCTTGGCTCTCCACCAATGCAGCTGCATCTTTCCTTGCTATCTTCAGTGATTGCTTTCATTCCTGGCTTCTTCCCCCCCCCCCCCCCCCCCCCCCCC